TATAACCAGCATCCCCTTGAATCGTTCCTATGTTTCATGCAGTGTTTCCATTGGTCTCTGTTTAAAACTCAAAATTTCATCAATTTGTTGAGTGGTTTTGTTGGGTGGGTGGAACTTGTTCACGAATTACTTGACTAACTCCTCCCAAGTTGTTATGGATTTATGGGGAGTGAATTTAGCCAGGTCTGGGCAGCTCCTGCCACTGAGAATGGAAACAATAACAGCATGATTGCTTCCGGAGTTACGTTGGGATGCCTTTGGGTTTTGCAGATTGATAGGAAATTCTTCAAAAGCTGTTGAGGATCTTTGACTTATGACCCCAAAAATAGTCCCTTGTTTTGCAACAAGTGCAACATGTTATTCGTGATTTGGAATGATTCAGCCTGTATCTGCGGGACAAAAATCGAGGTGGCCAGATTTTCAGCTGTGGGTTGTGCCCAGTCATAGAGAGTTGCCTCTGGCACAAGAGGTGCCACTGGCGCTATTGGTACAACTGGGTTCTCTTCGTGATCTCCCATTTCTGTCTCGAAGTGTTCAGTTATTTGTTGTTGTTTGTTTTTCCGGTTGGCCTGGTTCAAGGCCTTGAAAACTTTCTCCGGATCTGATAATGCTTCAAATACTTCACCAGTTTTCGATGAGTTTCTAGGCATGCACCTGTACAACCAAGTCAACAAACGTTAAAATTTCAATGTAAAGATTGGGTATAGAGAAAATTGACTACACTAAGAATTTTTGTACTTCTTTCAATTGTAATTGATAACACCGTTAAAGTTCCCCAATAACAGCGCCAAAATTTGACCACGCCCAACTATGTCTTATAAAAAGGACACGCGGACGTTGCAAATATAATCTGAGTATTTAGCCCATAGTCGAACCCACAAGGAATTAACCTATCAATTACTTTCGTTAAACGTACTAAACTCTACGAAATCAACTTCCCAAACGTTGTCAATAACAATTGATGGTATCTCTACTAACTAAGAATGAATGTAATTAAACAGCTTAAAACTAACTATGATTTGGTTGTAACAATTAAGAGAAGGTTCTAAGGCTATGATTTCCCCTATTGATGGAATCTCTTCCGGTTATGCTTCACATAGAATCACCATATCATCTCTATCAATCATGAGCACTCCTCTTACCTTAAATCTCTCCCGAGTAATCACGATAATTTACTAGACGCACTCTCCCGAGATACGCTAGCTGGCTTTGTTTATTACAGCTCACTTTAGATTACACCCAAGGCTTCGTTATTCCTAATCCCGCCTTTAAACCCGCAATTATTGATCTCTTATATATTTTGGGAGTGGTATTGTTCAACAATTACCTAAATATGCACTCTCTCCCGAGTTATGCACATTAAATAGGCATAGCTAATTGAGGATCCTGTCAATTAACTACAACAAGCATGTAGTTGAACAAATAGAGATTAAAAAGGCAAACTATATTAACATAATCAAGAAGTTCATACTTCAATAGGTTCCATCAAACCTTAGAATAAATATTTAGCTACTCATACTAGTGTTCATCATAACAATAATCAAATTCATCACAAATCATAAAAACAAAAGGAAGAAATGAAGAACTTGATGTTGAATCCTCCTCCCTGCCTCTTGCCTCTCCTTTTCTTGCACTAAGCTATCAAAAACTGCATAATCCCCCTTTGGGCGAGCTTGACCTTCTATAGGTTAAGTGAATTTTTTCCTTAGACTTTCAAGTTTACCCCTGAAAATTAATATTTCGGAACTGGGCTAGTGCGGCCGCGCTAGTGGGCGCGCTAATGCTCTATCATTCTGCCTCGACCATTTGGTCTAGTGCGGTCACGCTAGTGCAGACCTTCATTTTAACTATTCTTTTGTCTCGTCTTCTTGCGTACTCAGCTCCTAGGGGTTTTGTTTCTTGCTTCAATGTAGCTCCAATCACAGCTTTAAGGCCTCATACAAGCTCCTTACTCCTGCAACGCGTGACATTCACAATTAGAACCCATTTTTCATCATTTAATTATATTATAACATTGAAACATAATTAAGCTAGGGCATAAACAATCGCCAAATTACATAAATCTAGCCTATTATCAAGTCCAGCTAAGTCTTTTGTAGTAGTAAGAGCTGATACTGAACTGTGGCATAAGAGGCTGGGACATGTTCCATTTCTAGTCATTAAGAAGTTACCTAATTTCACTGGTAGTGATAGTACTACAATAAGCCATTGTGACATTTGTCCATTGGCAAGACAAGATAGGATTCTATTTCCCATAAGTACTACTAGAGTAGTAGATTGTTTTGATTTACTGCATATGGATATATGGGGCCCTTACAAAGCCTTAACTCATAATGGAAAAAGGTTTTTTCTCACAATTGTAGACGATTGCTCCAGATGGACCTGAGTTTTTTTATTGCATCTTAAATCTGATGTAATTGCAGTACTCAAGCACTTCATTATTATGGTCAGGACACAGTTTAGGAAGATGATAAAATGCTTTAGATCTGATAATGGGACAGAGTTCTTTAATTAGAGTTGCAATGAGTTATTCTCAGTGCATTGCATTGTGCATCAAAGCTCTTGTCCATACACTCCACAACAAAATAGAGTGGTGGAACGAAGACATAAACATATATTGGAGACAGCAAGGGCTATAAGGTTTCAAGGTCATTTGCCTATTCGATTCTGGGGGGAATGTGTGGAGGCAGCAGTGTACATCATCAATAGAATACCCTCCATTGTTTTGCACAACAGATCACCATTTGAAGTATTGTTTGGAAGACAAGCTTCTATATCTCACATGAGGGTTCTAGGATGTCTATGCTTTGCTACTAATTTAGTGAAAGGAGACAAGTTTGGTCCTCGTGCAATAAGGTGTATTTCTGGGGTATGCTCCTACACAAAAGGGCTACAAGTTATACAAAATTGAGCAGAGGTCTATATTTGTGAGCAGGGATGTAGTCTTCCATGAAGATGTGTATCCATTCCAATATAATGCTGAAGATTTCAGAGTGCACTCTCAGTCAACTTCCATAATCAATAATGATTGTCTATTGTCACCTATTGATAGCAGGGGTGTTGAGGAGCTTGGCAACACTCACATTTACACAGCAGCTGATGCTCCTGCACATGAAATACATGCAACTTCATCCTCTATTCCCAACAATGCCAGCAATGTAGAAGAAAATGCAACTGTTGTTCCAGAGATACATGCACCAGTTGTTAAAGATGAGGCTTCTGTGCCATCTAATATTAGACAAAGTGGACCACCCATTGCTTGTGATCAGAGAAGGTCTGGCAGGACCACTAAACCCCCTATTTGACTCAAAGACTACATTAGACCTCAAGGAAGGTCAAGTTCTGCAAGTTATTGTCTGTATCCAATCAGTGATGTCATATATTATGATAGCCTTTCAGCCAAATACCAAGCCTATGTTGCTAAGGTTTCTTCAGAGACTGAACCTACATCCTTTTATGAAGTAACCAAAGATATGAGGTGGATTGAAGTTATGAAATCAGAGATTCAAGCTCTAGAAGATAATCACACATGGGAAGTAGTAACACTACCTCATGGCAAGAAGGCAATTGGTTGTAAATGGGTCTACAAGATCAAATACACAGCTTCTGGAGATATAGAAAGATTCAAGGCTCGCTTGGTGGCAAAAAGGTATAGTCAGAAGGAAGGCTTGGATTATCAAGAGACATTCTCACCTGTAGTGAAAATTGTCACAGTTAGGTCTGTGATTGCTATTGCAGTTGCAAAAGGTTGGGTTTTACACCAAATGAATGTATATAATACTTTCTTGCAAGGAGATTTGGAAGAGGAAGTCTATATGGATCTACCTCAGGGTTTCTCATATTCAGCAGGAAAGACTCAAGTCTATCGACTACATAAGTCTCTTTATGGGCTTAAGCAAGCTTCCCGTCACGGGAGATGATGTTGTTCTTATATCAGACACTAAAGTTGCACTTCATCAAAACTTCAAAATCAAAGACTTGGGGGAGCTCAAGTAATTTTTGGGCATTGAGTATGCGAGGAGTAAGGAAGGGATTCTGTTATATCAGAGGAAGTATTCTATCGAGCTTATCTCTGATGCTGGCTTGACATGGGCAAAACCTGTAGGGGCACCTGTTGAGGTGAATCAGAAGTTAACTACAGCTGAATTTGATCATCAATTTGGACTTACCAATGATACTTTACTTGCTGATCATGGAGCTTATTAGAGGTTGATTGGTAGGTTACTCTACCTAACTATTACTAGGCCGGATATTTCATTTGATGTGCAATGTTTGAGTCAATTCATGCATGCTCCTAAGACATCGCATCTTGAGGCTGCCTTAAGAGTAATTAGATACTTGAAAAAGAATCCTGGTCTGGGGATCCTTATGTCATCTAATGGTTCTACCAAGTTGCACGCTTATTGTGATGCTGATTGGGCTTCTTGCCCAAATACGAGGAAGTCAGTGACTGGCTATATGCTCACGCTTGGTGATTCTCTCATATCCTGGAAATCCAAGAAGCAAAATACTATCTCTCGTAGTTCAGCTGAAGCGAAGTATAGGAGTCTGGCGTCGACTGTGGTAGAGATAGTGTGGTTGGTTGGTCTGTTCAATGAGTTAGGAGTCTCTCTCACTTTGCCTATCCCACTCTATTGTGACAGTAAATCTGCAATGCAAATTGCTGCGAATCTAGTATTCCACGAACGTACCAAGCACATTGATATTGATTGTCATTTCATTCGTGAGAAGGTACAACAGGGATTGGTTGAGACTGTGTATCTGCCCTCTGCTGAGCTAAGTTGTATTCAGCATGACCATTTGTTATCCAAGTTAGGCCTAAAGAACATTTTCCTTAGACCTAGCTTGAGTGGGTGTTGAGAAATGTATTGATACAGGGTAGTGCTAGTTAGTTGTTATTTATCAACCATAGCTAGCTAACTAGAGTACATATTGGTAACTATAGTTGAGTTAAAGATTAGTTAGCATAAATATATGTTAGTTGGGAAGTTGTAGGTGTTGTATAGTATACTTTCTCAATGGAATAGTAATATTTCCATTTTCTCCGTTCTTCTTCTCTCGTCTTCATCTTTCACTCTTCAGATCTGGATTGGAAGCTAACTGAATTTATCAATTCGACAGTAACCCTGAATAATCCCTTCCTCTCTTGCCCTCCATTTTCGTTAGCTAACTCTATTTCGTTCGAATTCGAGCTAAGATATCCTAATTTTTGCATGCATCGCCTTTCTCCTTGGATGATTGACTCGTTTGAGTATGCCGTAAATAAAAGGTAAAGAAGAGAAAAATCTGACATTATTGTTTTCATCGCCGGCACCGGAGAGTGAAGAACAGACTGTGCATATAGTAAAAGTACTTTTAGGTAATTTACTAGAACGACTCCTTTTCTATGTGGTGCAAAACCTTAGGAGCATTTAGAAACCGGAAGATAATGAAATGTTCTAACTCGGAAACAATTTCAAATGTTGGCCAACTAAGGAATATCTATATGCTTCCTCATAGCATTTATAAGATTAGTGCCTTTGTAATTTATTGTATTGTGCATAAATTTATGTAGGTATTTGTGAAGCTTATGTCATGCAATGCAGTTTTTAAATAAAATTTCATATGCTATAGTTATTAAAGTGAAGTGATTGCAGATGTTGTGACAGTCAGAGTTCTGCCAAGTTTTGCCGCGGTTTGCCATATCCAGCTCGTTTTCCTGAGGTGATCCATTTTTAGTGATTTCGTTTGATGAATTGTGTGATCCTCTCATTTCAAAGTTTAACTATTAAAAAGAAGGGACGTTTATTTATTTTAGGTTGTAAACACATCCTCTCACATGTGTGGTTTAATTATTTTTCTTGAATCAATCATGTGGAAACATTTCTGTTGATGGGTTTGAGAGTTGGACTTAGGATGTCTGCCTATCTTGATATCAATGTCGACATGTCGTGTTGAATTGTGTGATAAAAACTTAATCTATTACAGAGGAAGCACTTATATTATTTGTTTTAGGTTGTCAATTTGTTCGCTGTTTTTATTTATCCTGTTGCCTTACTAAGATGATAGTTTTCTGAAATCCACTGTAACATTTTCTCCTGTATGCCCTAAGACATGTTAAGGTTGTGGGATGATATTTGATATTTCAGATGGAAATTTGAACAAAGTTGCAGTCATATCAGGCAAACTTGGATTATACCTGATGCCTCTATTTCAATTCTAGAACAGGAGTATCGCTAAATTAATATTCTCATGGAGCTTCACATATTATTCTAATTTGTGTAATGGCAAAATTAGAAATTGCATTTCATGAGTTGCCCAGTGCCCCTTTGTGCATTCCTTTCTCGCCTCACCTGAGTGAAGTTTCTGCTAGTGATTCCACTTATAACTAAATAAGCTTTTAAGGAGTCCATTAGTTCTTATGAATAATTATTCAGGAATATGCGTGACTAAACAGTAGCTCAGGAATCTCTAACCCAAATTTGGCACATAACCTCGGAATCTGGTTCTAACCCAAGTCCAGTTTAACATTGCGTCTTGAAAATTTTCTAATTTAGGTGGTGAAAATGGCCATGAACCTGCCGGTGCTGGATTTGTTTGGGAAAATGGATGCTGATTGCAGCTATCTGTACTGATGTTTCTGCCCCTTCAAATGTTGACTCAATTCTTGATGTATGATTACCTGTTTGATTGGCACAACAGCCTACTTGTTTTTCTTTGTTGGTGCCTAACTAACCTGATTAAACTTTAGGGTATAAGAGCTGTTACAGGTCCCATGGATTGCCATCTGATTGTGAAGGTATAATGAATCTTAATCTCCTTGTCTAACTCTTGACTTTCGTTTTTACAGTGTTACCTGTACACGTAAAACCATCTTGCACTGTGACATGAGAAGTAGTGGATCACTGATACATTTACTATACTACCAATCGGAGTCTCTACCCGAGCAGAGTAACTTGGTAAGCCGTAAGAGTTGAAACATAACCTTCATGGTCTTACTAGAAACCTTACTTATCACAGGGCTATGTTGGTCTCGCAATTACAGTTCACTGTTTTTAATCTGTAGCTTACTATCTCTACATTTTATTCCTCCTAATTATCTTTCCCTTAAAAATTTCACAATGATCAATTTCTTTTGATAAGTATTCACAGAATACTATTTTTACTTTGAACTTATAGTATTTTACATTTAAAATAAATAATTAGAATGTGTTGCTAAATTTGGAAAGTCACCAAACCATAATTTCTGGTCATCTAAAGTCATGAGATGTGACTGGGACCAGTTGCTGACAGTCCATGGTACCGATGTCCTTTACTCCTTTATAGACTTATACTGGTGAATGGTGATATATTGAATTTTGGTTTGTTTGAGGAAGAAAAATCCAAAGGTTGTAAAGTAGAGGTATCAATTAGATGTTATTTTATTTTTTATTTTTGTAACTCATTTAGAGTTGTTAGTTTTTAACTATAACTGTAGTAGCTAGTTAGTCCTTCAGAAACTGAAAGATAGCGTGCACTGTGTGATATTATATGAATTGTCTTTGCATTCTAGATGATAATTGTCAGTAATGAAGCTTTACCACTTCCTAGAGCCATTAGCGGCCAAAGAGGTTTGGCTTGGACAATACCCGTTCACAATGTTCATTTGTCAGTATTGTGGTGCATGTTAATTGTGTTTCACCACCTCCAAGATAATTGTGTTGGCTTATTCACCCTAAACGAGCAGAAAAAATTGAAAAATGAGAAGTCAATCTGCCATCTTCTAAATGATGAACATGAAAGGTTTATGTTTTTCAACTGTGCTTGCTTGCTCAGCCTCAACATGAACAAAGATAGAAACCCAATTTTCTAATTTCGTAGGCAATGAGATCTCAGTTTTATCCAAAGATGGGTGGTGGAACCAAGTCAGTTTTGATTGCCAATATGGAACGTTACAAAGGTTGACTTTGTTCTGTATTATTTTGCATAGACAGAAGATGGTTTCTTTTCCACTTGTGTAGATTATCTTCCTATGGAGGAACATGTATCTTTGGCTGAGACATCAAAATCAAACTTTAATAAGGTTTTTAAGGTTGTATTATGCAAGTGGAAAATCTCATGGATTCCAACATGTTTTTTTTCTTCTTTGTCTTTTTTCCTCCGGAAAACATAAAAAAAAATGAAGGGGTTGCATGTCTTGAATAGGAAGCAAAATCATTTGCAAAACAAGTGATCAATGTATATCAGTTTATGTAATTTCTTTAGATTATGTATTCATTTTCTTCAGCTTGTTAGTTCGTGAACTCCTGTTAAGGACACAAGCAGAATTTCAACATAACTTCTTACTAGTCCTGAGTGTGCAAGATCTGACAAATGATTCAAATCTTATGGCTTGAAGCAACGAATCCGCCTGAGGATGTGCTTTACCATATTTGCCTAAACTTTAAATTTGAATCTTCCTCCTCTTGGCTAAGCATCACTAGTCATTTTTGATTGAGCCTAGTGGTGGATTTTCTAAGAGACAATACTCTACATCAATTCCCAAGAATCATTTCCTGAAGAAAAAATAAAATTTGCCCCACTTACTATTGGGAGCAAGAAGGAACAAGTCATATGGGAAAGGTAGTGATGGCAACAGGGAAGGAAGTGAGGGTGGCAGAGTTCATAGCGGGCTTTAGATTGTTTTTAAGTGTTGCAATTGGATGGGAGGAGGAAAGAAAAGATAATAGCGCTTTGTCTCCTTTTGCTTTGTTGGGGTGGACCAAACTTTCCATAAAAATGTATCTGCAAGGAGACTGTCACAGTTATAACACTGATGTATTGATGGTCTGTGGGTGTTTTTAATAGGCAAAATCTTAAACACAAATAAAAAGGGCAGGATGGAGTAATGATTTACGGGTTGCAATAACACTGGTTATATTAGAACTTCACATAACCATAAAATTATTCTCAATGCTGCTATCTACTGCCTCTTTTTAACAGAAATCAAGTTGGCCCCAACAATTGAGCTGTCTGGTCTGTTGAAGTTTGGCAAAATGCCAAAGTCCCACATTGGTTGGGAGTTAAGTTTGGGGGGGATTTTTCCCCTATAAAAGAAGGCCTAATGTTTAGGATTGAAACACACCTCTCATTTGCCTTCTCATCTGTTTAAGGCATTTGTATCTTCTCTCTTTAGTATTATTTCACTTGTATTTT